TGTGGTCCAAGTTGAATCAGATGTCTTAGAGAAGTGAATAAAAGAAAAAGGACAGTGGTGTGTGGAGCAGACTGAGAATAGATGTAGTCAATATCAATGATTCTGCCCTTGTCTCTTCCCCCATCCACTAGAAATGGAAACAGTCTGGGTTCAAGGAATAGATTTAAGGGAATTTGAAGTGTGGGGTCAAAGCACATTATAAACTGGTACTCCTGTCATTTGAATCTCCTTCTTGTTTGACCAACAGGAGTTGGAAACTAAAAGTGCTTGATTTACGGGATGCCCAACATAACTTCTGGAATGTGTGGGCTGGAATAGAGAATGGTGTCTGCTCTCCAGATGTCATTACTGAGACCCAGCCAGTGGTGCATCATCCCATACAAGAGGGGAAACAAATCGTGACTGTGTTGATGAACCTTTCTCTCAAATCCAGCCATCTTTGTAAATACCTAAGGTATTTCTATTGGTGGGCCAAGCAGAGAAAAGATGGGGTGCAGGTGATCTGTCAAAAGCTGGAGTTTTGGGACCTGCCTGTCTATAACCCCCTGGAGCTGCTGGAGGTATTTGAGCCAAGCTCTATACAGGAATTGGAAGTGAATGAATGCTGGGACCTGGGAACCCTTGCAATGATAGCCTCTTGCCTGGGCCAGATGACAAACCTTCAGAAACTCGTTATCAATGAAATATGCACTCCTTTGAAGTGGCTTGGGAACCAAGAGATGAAAGAATGGTGTTTTACAGAGATCATTTCCCAGTTCTCCCAACTCAACATGCTCCAGCATCTCTATTTGAATGATGTCTTCTTCCTGAATGAACGACTTGACCAAGTGCTCAGGTGAGGAGGATAGAGAGCTTGCTCCACAGGTCAGAGGAAAAACCTTTTCACCGAAACTTCAGTGTACACCTGTGGCTTCCCAGCCACTCCTGAGGACACATTGATATGACCTTAAGATAATTGATCTAGTAGTCTTTCTGCTACTCTAGCATCCATGATTGAGAAAAGGTCTTTCCTAGGGACCCAGATGAAGTGAAAACAGATCTAGAGAGGGTATGAGGTCTTTAACCACATGTTGCCCCAATGTCAGCCCTGTCCTTAGAACTGTATGAACAGTTTACATCTCTCTCTGATTCCCCAAGGGGCAAGGGCTATTTCAGCACAGGTAGGGCCTGAATAAATGGGAAATTAGAGAGAGTGTGTATGATTAGGGGCACAGAGAAGCCCTGGAAACAGGACAAAGGCTGTGCTAGGAAGGCAGGGCTCATTGAGTCCAATGTTGGCGCACCCAAGGATGGTTCTAAGTATCCCATAGTTGGTCCTTCTAGTTTCCTGCTGATATCATCTGTCAGCTGATGTGCTTTTGTGCTTGACAGTGCAGAGGGAACAGATCTGGGACAAATAGTTACAACGATAGTGCATAAGTTGTTAACTCTCCATCAGGGAGCATCATGATGCTCTCAGAATGACCTTAGGACTACTTAGCCTCTGCTACCTTGAAGTCATCACCCTTCCTCCACTGCTATTAGACTTTACTGAGATAAACTCCTTTGTCTCCCTGTAGGTGCTTGAAGAATCCCTTAGAGACCCTTGCAATCACTAACTGCATGCTATCAGAATCAGACATGAGTTATCTGTCCCAGTGTCCAAGCATCCATCAGCTCAAACATCTGGACCTGAGTGGTGTCACCTTTTTAAATTTAAGTCATTCACTTCTAGGAAGACTGCTAGAAAGACTGACAGCTACTCTGCAGACTTTAGAATTGAAGGGCTGTATGTTGATGGACTTGCAAATCAGTGTCCTCCTGCCTGCCCTGAGCCAGTGCTCCCAGCTCACTGAAGTCAATTTTATGAAGAACTTCCTGTCTGTGTGCAGCCTTAAGAAGCTGCTGCAGCACATTGCCAACCTGACACATCTGACCCGGGAGATGTACCCTGCCCCCAGTGAGGTCTATGATGACAATGGTGATGTCATGCCAGACAGATCTGCCCAACATTGCTCTGAGCTTATGGAAACACTCTGTGCTATAAGAGAGCCAAAAGAGATCTACTTTGTGAGTAAGAGATGTCTAGATTGTCTGGGATTCTGTGTTTATAACCTGGAGGCCACACTATGTTCATGTTGGCAATAAATAAGGAGAGATCACTGCCGGGCTCTGAGAAATCAAAGCCAGGACTCA